CATAGAAGGGAAATGAGGTAGAAAGAGGCACCCGGCAGGGGACAGCACCAGCTCGGGAGACCTGGGTTCAAGTCCTAGCTCTGTTGCTTCCTGTCTGTATGACCCTGGTGGGTCACATCTCTTCTCTCAGCCTCGGTGTCCTCAGCTGAAAAGAGTTCTTTGTAGGATAAAATGAGAGAAAGCCCTCAGCATGGTGCAGGTACCTCGCGAGCCCTTAGTATGTGGCAACTTCTTTTCACTATTTTGAAAGTCATCGTCACTCCTATATTGATCTTCTATGGTAGTTCAGAAAGTGCTTTCTGAATGCACTTTTACCCAGAATGCAAAGCTCACTCAGCTTCCCTCTGCCTGTTGGGTGGTCCAGCCCCTTCACTAGGACCCCGCCAACCCAGGGAAGGGCTGCCGGCCCTTCCAGCCCCTGAGGCAGCTGCCCCACCTGTATCATGAGCTTCTGGCCCCAGGTCCAGGTGGGGCTGCTGGAGGGCCTGTGCCTTCTCCAGCCTGACTCTGGCCTTCACCTCGGTGACTTATAAGTGGACCTAGGTGGTCCCTTTTCCCTGTATCCTGCGGGGTCCCAGTGACTTCAGGGCTAGTCTGCCTGGCTCGGGGCAAGAAAAAGGACCCAGAGTGAATCAAACCTTACCTCTCTGCCCTCAAGAAATTCTTGGTCTGGCAGGGGAACCAGGCTTGGACCCACTCACCCACTACCCCACGTGCTCAGTAGGAGGGTCCAGAAAGAGGAAGCAAACAGAACCAGAGCAGCCTGGGAGTGGTCAGGGGAGACTTTCTGGAGGAGGTAGCATTTGGCCTTGGCAGTACTGAGTGAGAGGCATCCCATCAGGGAAGCAGCACACAGGCCCAAGTCAAGGACCCCAGTTAGGAAAGAGATTTTCTGCATGAGGGACCCAGCTGGCCCACCCCCAATTCCCCACACATACACATACTCTGCATCACCCAGATGGGTCCACTGCCCTGCAGAGGCAGCTTGGGGAAGAAAGTCCAATATCAGCCCCCTGGTCCTAGTTGAATGACCTTAGACAAGTAACCTAACCTCTCTAAACAGCTGTTTCCAATTCTATACAAGGGGAATAATGGTACTTACCCAACAGGATTAATAATGCAGAAGGTATTTAAACATTCTAGTAGGTACTTATTACATATAAGATTTAAATGCATTAAATGCATTCCCTGGGGCACCTGGCTGGCTTAGTCGGCTAAGCATCCGACTTTGGCTCAGGTCACGATCTCCCTGAGATCTCCCTGAGTTCAAGCCCTGCCTGGGGCTCTGTGCTGACAGCTCAGAGCCTGGAGCCTGCTTCGGATTCTGTGTCTCCTTCTCTCTCTGTCCCTCCCCCACTTGTTCCCTCCCTCTCTCTCTCTCTCTGAAATAATAAATGAATAAACTTTATAAAAAAAATTTAAAAAATAAATGCATTCCCTTTCCTCTTTTAACTCCTCTGACTTCTGGCTTGTGGGGCTGGGACGGCAGGACACCCTAGGGGCCCTACCCTGCCTAGGTGGGGCTTCTTACCATCTTACAGGGCACCTTGTCTCGGTGTTGGGAGGTGGCCAGGCCCAGGGTCAGCACGGCCAGGAGCAGCAGGATCTGGTGGCTCATGGCTCTGTGTAGAGTGGGAAGGAAAGGGGAACACTGTAAGATCACTGGCTCCTTTCTACTGCCCCCATCCTGTCTGTGCCTGCCTTCAGGGAACCCCAGATCACAGTGCAGGTGGGTGAGAACTGGGTCCAAAGGCTACCACAAAGGACCCCTAGTGCCAGGCCATTGCCCCAGGCAGCAAGAGTTTTTAAGGAGTGGGTGACTTGGTCAGATTTGGGTTTCAAAAGACCCTACTTGCTAGAAGACTGCCTGGAGGAGGTGAGCAGGAGACAGAGGGACTCTAAGGGCTGCCCTGGGCCAAGCTCAGGCCTGGGGTGAGGTGAGGTGGGGAGCTAGGCCTCTGACTGCATTTCCACCCAGGTCACAAGCAGGTCCCCCATCCTAGTTGCTTAGACCCCAAACGGAATTCCTCAATTCCCCCCACCCCCGGACTTTTATTTTGCCCTTTTTCTTTTGATTTTCTGATTCTGGAGTCGCTGCCATTGTTTGAAGGCTGGGCCTGGAGCCCTGACAGGAAACCCCGCCAGGAGGCCTCTGCCCTGCCCCCAGCACTGTCGCTGTGGACTTCCCCAGGAGCGGTCTCCAGGCCCTTTACTTTCACTGAAGCTACTGCCTACTGCCAGTGCAGGGGGACTCTTAGGCCTGCTGGTGTCCTCTCCGTGTAGAGCTGAGGTGGCATTGAGGGGGGCCACAGAGACCCTGAGCAGGGTTGCATCCCATTGCCGCTAGCAGCTCACTTGCTGAGGAGCTGGGCCAAGTGCTAGAAGTACACAGATCAAGCCACTGATTTCATTCATTCATTCATTCATTCATTCATTCATTCACACCTAAACTGAATGCCTCCTCAAGTCTGGGTCTGTGCTGGGAACTGAGGCCACATATAAATGCACAGAAGTGGTCATAATGCAGAGTGTTAACAAGGAAGGGCACGTGAAGCCCTCCAAGAGCACTGGACTCAGTCACCCGTAACTGACTGCTTTCTCTTTCCCCTCCACTTGTCTGTTGTGTGACCTTGCATAAGTCACTTCACCTCTCTGAGCCTCAGTTTCCTCTTTTTTTTTTTTTTAATATTTGTGTTTTGTTTTGTTTTTTGAAAGAGAGAGAGAGAGAGAGAGAGAGAATAAATGCACATGCACAAATGGGGGAGGGGCAGAGAGAGAGGGGGCAGGAGATCCAAAGCAGGCTCCGTGCTGATAAGAGTAAGCCCAACAGAGACCTCGGACTCATGAACCGTGAGATCATGACCTGAGCCGAAGTCGGACACTCAACCGACTGAGCCACCCAGACGCCCCTCAGTTTCCTCTTTTGAGGTTAATGCCAACTTTGCCAAGTTTTGTTAACGATCAAATGAGATGCATTCTATGAAAGTGCCCTTACAGAGCCCTTTATCATAAACCAGGCACTCTTCTCGATACTTTACATGTATTAACTCACTTAATCCTCACAGCAGTTCACGCACTTGGTTCTATGATTACCATTCCCATTTTGCAGGTGGGGAAACTGAGGCTCGGAGAGGTTAAGTAACATGCCCAAGGTCACACAGCTAACCAGTGGCTGGCACAGGCAATCTGTGCCCTAAACGTCTACACTAGAAGGTCACCCACGGGTGCTTAATAAACGAGCACTGAATCGCCACTCTGAAGGGTGCTTTAGAAGAGGAGGCATCTATGGGACCTTTGAGGGCTGGGTTTTTGTTGGAATCCACCAATGTCCTTGTGATAAAGTTTAGATTAAGATGGCTAGTTCTGAGGCCCCTTCTTGCCCAAACATTCAGGGGCATGTTTTAAACGCCATTGCCTGGGTTCCCCTCAGGGCCATGCCCCC